ACTTTCTCTCTCTCAAAGTATTTGAAAACTTAAAACTTAAAACTTTTTGTGACTTTTAAAAACTTTCTAAAAACTTTCTCCAAAACTTTCTTCAAAACTTGACGCTTACAACGGAAGTGATCCATATTTATGCTACAACAGACCGGATTTCAAAAACATTTGAATCCGTTACATTAATAAAACACAAGAAAAAGATAAAATTGTTGATAAGTGATGAGCTGTCTTGGACATGTGTCTTGAATTATTGATGATCTGTTCTGAAAATGGCAGACAAACTGATGAGGCTCATTAAAAGAAATCTTGAAAAGTCTTGCTTGTTGTCAGGGAAGCTTGACAAAGTATGTCTTGAAATTGTTGAATATCTTTGCAAAAGCCATGTGAAAGGATTGTTATGAAGAAGTCTTGATGTCTTTAAATTTTTGCAGAAAATCTTGACCAATTTGCTTCTTGATAAGAGAAAAAGTTGACTGGAGAAGAATCTTGTCAGCGCCAAAATTTTTGAATTTTGAAGCTGAGTCATCAACCTTTATTGAATTCATAATTGATCTGGTTTTGGAACATGACAAAATAGTCANAAGGAGTAATCCCCAGTGATTTTTTTGCAAGCTTATATTCATTAGAACGCATAAATTTAAGCTCAAATAATTTTATTTCATTACCTGCAAGCATCAGTCATCTTTCAAAGCTTCAATATCTTTACTTAGACGATTGGAAGTGGCTCGAGTCATTGCCACAACTTCGATCCAATATCCTTTTTCGTTACAAAGAAACAGTAAAAAACTTCTGTATTTCTTGTGTAAACTGCTTCAAATTGCTCAACAACAAAAGCTTGACCTTATTGATGGCGAAAGATTTCCTCAAGGTCAGTCTCTCTCTCTCGCACTTTTATATGTATTAAACATTATGCAATTAATGATCTGACTTCTTTTTACCTAATTAATTTGAGGTACGTTGTTTGCAAAATCCAAGTGTTAAATTGTGGATGGTTGTTCCTGGAAGTGCAATTCCATTGTGGTTGAAGCATCAGAGTGAGGGTTCTTCAATAAGAATAGAAAGGCCTCCAACTTTCTATAATAAGAAGTTGATGGGATTTTTTGTGTGCTTTGTTTTTGCCATTAGCAGCCATCTGCCTGTCCCCAACAATATTCCAGATTTATTGTCCTTGCAATGCTGTATGCAAATTGATGGAAGAAATACTATTTTTTTTCCCTTTCGGTTATTGCTATGACGAATTCATCTATGCCATTTCAGAGCATGTTTGGTTATTCTATTGGCCTTGTGAGTGGGAGGACAAGTTTAATCACATTGAGTTTTTATTTAAAGAATGTCATGGATTGGAGGTGAAGAGGAGTGGAGCGCATCCAATATATGAGCAAGATCTGAAAGAGTTCAATCCAACTATGCATGTGGTAACAGCTAAGAGAAGCCTTGCTACCAATGATGACGAGGAACAACTACATGAAAGAAATAAGAAATTCAAGTTCTTTTGAATTGCAAATTAATTCCCCCTTTGGATACATGGGTATGTCTACTCAATCTCAATTTCGATTCTAACTAATTTTTATCATGATTTTTTGTTTTTTATCAGATTAATGACAAAAAATCAAGATGTATCAATATGTAACATTTTACGGTAATCCTAATCTGTTATGTTGTTATTAGTTTTATTATTAGAGGTATAACTTCTTAAAATCTTATCTTTACTTAAGAATTTTCAATCATCTGTTTTGTCTTTGCCTATCGAAACAAGTAATGCTATGATTAAAACTTTCTGATGAGGACGAAACAAGCTTATATATGCTTTTATTGTATCTATTTTGAATGTAGGCAAAATCTACAAATTGGACTCTACAAATGCTTTTAACTTGCTTTGGTTCTAGTAATTTTTCTCTAAATTATATAGAGATAGCTTTTATCAAATAATTTTTAATCGGGCAGAGTTGGCATCATCTTGATTTATTAAAAACCGAACAAATTGAAGTTTGACATTAGAGTGAAACTTAGCTAAAAAATTGGTTTTGTTATCATTTATGAGCAAGTTGAAGTGTTATATGCTTATGGGCTTTACTAAGTGGGATTATTGGCTTCATTATAAAGTAAATTCACCCAATTAGGCTTATCTTAGGTGATACTATTCACCCAATTAGGGTTGAATTTAGAGTTTTTCATAAAATTATTGTTAAAGAACATTTGAAAAAATAAAAATAGTCAAAGAAAGAAGGAAGCTTCAGCGGCTACAGTGCATGCTCTCTCCAGGCAGACAGCACAAGTATCAGCATCATCTGAGGATTGCAACCCCCACTCTCTGCAAAGATTACTTGCAACGTGTCATATTTGCACAAACAGGAATATGCTATTTATTACCTCCCAATCATAAACAAAATCAACCAATGATTGAATTCTATAGAGCACACATTGCAAGAGAAACCATAGGCAATTAATTACCCATTGCAGTTCTAAGACATACGACTAGCACCCCTTGCAAGAAGGATCTGCAGAAATAGTACGATTGTCATCTCAAAGTTAAAGCGAACTAAAGGTCACTCCTTATTAGCTATCACTAACTAATCTACACTAACTAAAAACCCTAAACTCTTGTTTCTTAAAAAAAACTAGGGACTTGAAAGTTTGAAGGAGATTAATCTAAATGGAAGTGCTATAACGCAAACAGTGTCGTCCATATTTCTTTTGAGGAATGTTATAGAATTGAATTTTCAAAGATGCAAAGGGCCACCTAGAAGTTCAGATTTGAAGACTTTGATATTGCCTTCTCTATCAAATTCGTGTTCTCTAAAAATATTGGATCTCAGTGACTGTAATCTAGGGGAAGGAGTAATCCCCAGTGATTTCTTTGCAAGCTTATATTCATTAGAACGCATAAATTTAAGCTCAAATAATTTTATTTCATTACCTGCAAGCATCAGTCATGTTTCAAAGCTTCAACATCTTTACTTAGACGATTGCAAGTGGCTCGAGTCATTGCCACAACTTCGATCCAATATCCTTTTTCGTTACAAAGAAAAAGTAAAAAACTTCTGTATTTCTTGTGTAAACTGCTTCAAAATGCTCAACAACAAAAGCTTGACCTTATTGATGGCGAAAGATTTCCTCAAGGTCAGTCTCTCTTTCTCTCGCACTTGTATATGTATTAAACATTATGCAATTAATTATCTGACTTTTTTTTTCCTTAATTAATTTGAGGTACGGTGTTTGCAAAATCCAAGTGTCAAATTGTGGATGGTTGTTCCTGGAAGTGCAATTCCATTGTGGTTGAAGCATCAGAGCGAGGGTTCTTCAATAAGAATAGAAAGGCCTCCCAACTTTTTTATAATAAGAAGTTGATGGGATTTTTTTTGTGCTTTGTTTTTGCCATTAGCAGCCATCTGCCTGTCCCCAACAATATTCCAGAAATACTTTTTTTTTCCCTTTGGGTTATTGATATGACGAATTCATCTATGCCATTTCAGAGCATGTTTGGTTATTATATTGGCCTTGCGAGTGGGAGGACAAGTTTAATCACATTGAGTTTTTATTTAAAGAATGTCATGGATTGGAGGTGAAGAGGAGTGGAGCGCATCCAATATATGAGCAAGATCTGAAAGAGTTCAATCCAGCTATGCATGTTGTAACAGCTAAGAGAAGCCTTGCTACCAATGATGACGAGGAACAACTACATGAAAGAATTAAGAAATTCAAGTTCTTTTGAATTGCAAATTAAGTCTTTCCCCCTTTGGATACATGGGTATGTCTGCTCAATCTCAATTTCTGATTCTAACTAATTTGTATCATGATTTTTTGTTTTTTATCAGATTAATGACAAAAAATCAAGATGCATCAATATGTTACATTTTACGGTAATCCTAATCTATTATGTTGTTATTAGTTTTATTATTAGAGGTATAACTTCTTAAAATCTTATCTTTACTTAAGAATTTTCAATCATCTGATTTGTCTTTGTCTATTGGAACAAGTAATACTATGATTAAAACCTTCTGAGGAGGACGAAACAAGCTTATATATGCTTTTATTGTATCTATTTTGAATGTAGGCAAAATCTACAAATTGGACTCTACAAATGCTTTTAACTTGCTTTGGTTCTAGTAATGTTTCTCTAAATTATATAGAGATAGCTTTTATCAAATAATTAGATTTTAGTCGGGTAGAGTTGGCAACATCTTGATTTATTAAAAAACCGAACAAGTTGAAATTTGACATGAGAGTGAAACTTAGTTAAAAAAATTGGTTTTGTTATCATTTATGATCAAGTTGAAGTGTTATATGCTTATGGGCTTTACAAGGGATGATTGGCTTCATTATAAAGTAAATTCACCCAATTAGGCTTATCTTAGGTGATACTATTCACCTAATTTGGGTTCAATTTAGAGTTTTTCACAGTATTATTGTTAAAAAACCTAGACACAGAATGAACCTAACAGAAGGATGCTGGTATTAACAACTATGAAGGAATTAATATGGAGGTATATCCTTGTTTTAGAGCTACTCCATCATAAGCTAATAAAGATATCTTAATCAAACAACATTTGAAAAAATAAAAATAAAAATAGTCAAAGAAAGAAAGAACCCACACTGTCTCCAGCAGACAGCACGAGTATCAGCATCATCTGAGGAGGTTGTGAGGATTGCAACCCACACTCTCTGCAAAGATTACTTGAAACGTGTCTATTTGCACAAACGGAATATGTTATTTATTACCTCCCAATCATAAACAAATCAACCAATGTTTGAATTCTATACAGCACCACCTTGCAAGAGAAACCATAGGCAATTAATTACCCATTGCAGTTCTAAGACATTCGACTAGCACCCCTTGCAAGAAATCTGCAGAAATAGTACGATTGTCATCTCAAAGTCATTTTGAAAATCTTTAAGGATATTAGAATTCTCACCTGAAGCATTTTAAATTTCCTCCACAAGCAGCATAATGTGAAGGAGAGCTCAGCTCCTAGAATAAATATGGATATGTTTTTCAAGCTTGTCTAAATACAGATTATGCACAAAGGTCAAGAATCAAATACAAGATCAAACCTATAAATCCATTGATGTTCCATAATGAAATGTCCCCGCAGATACATTTGCATGAAGATCAAGCAAAAGCTGTACAACATCAAAATATCCATTCAATGCGCCATTGGAGAGCAGTGAACCACTACAGCTGCCTTATTTACAAACTTGGACAGGGCACTACATTACAGAACTAGCCAGTAAACAAAAAGAAAAACAATGCTTGATATCTTTAGCATATAAAAATAGAATGATCTTTTGCATTGATATCATCAAACAACATGATAAAGCAGTAGAAAGATCTCCTTTGAAGAAATAGTCTTCAAATATTGAGATAATGCCACCAGAAACTATAACTCAAAAAAAGCATTTTGCAATTAGTTCTTTAGAACAATACGGAAAGTGAATGACTTTTATGAACAAAAAACTTATGTTTCACCAAGTAATGTTCCAATGTAAACTTTTTCAGTTGAAAAGGTGAACTTTAACCAAGAACAATCATAAATCACACTGCACAAATGAATTTATGTGGCTACATCCAGTCCCAATTAGCCATTATCCTTTTTTTTTTTTTTTTTTTTTTTGGTCTTATGCATGCAAGGCTTAGGCTTGTAAGTTGCTAGCTACTATATTTAGTGTCGTGGCTACTTGTGAAAGAAATAGAACATATATGAATCAACAAATCAACAGTTAAACTAGGCAAACCTGTAATTATTTGCCCACTTCTATTCAGACATCTCTGATTCCTTCAAGGAATTTTAATGATTGAAGCATTATTGGCCGTTAGCAGGATTATCTGAGAGGCATACAGCAGCGATCTGCAGAACTTGAAGCATCATGGCTTTGAATCCGCATTGAGGACGGTAGGATCCAGAACATCAACAGCCTGCCCTTTCTTAATCTTCTGAAACACCCATCCCACCAAATTGCCGCCTTCTTTCTCTTTGAAGTCAGGTCCAGTTGGCTCTTTCCCAGTCACCATTCAAGAAGGATCACTCCAAAGCTATACACTCTCCTCTGTGGTAGATCTGCCACTCTGACCATACTCTGGTGGAATGTAACCAAATGTTCCAGCAATGTCGGTGCTGACATGGGTTTCACAGGCACTTATCAGTCTAGCTAGTCCAAAGTCAGCAACTTTTGCCTCGAACTCTTCATTTAGCAAGATGTTGCTGGCTTTAATATCCCTGTGGATGATGTGGGGATGAAACCATGGTGAAGAAAAGCTAGCCCTGAGCAGCACCACATGCAATTTTGTAACGTTTAGGCCAATCGAGGACTTCTAGAGCTCCAGTGCGATTCCTTAGCCAAAGATCTAAGCTCCCATTTACCATGTATTCATAAACAAGGACCTCTCCTCACCATATGAGCAGTTCCTAGCAATGGCACAAGATTTTGGTGTTTCACTTTACCCAAGGTTTCCATTTCAGCGATGAATTCTCGGTTACCCTGTGTTTTAGCCTCGCTTAACTTCTTAACTGCAACAGATTTCTCATCAGGCAAAGTGGCTTTGTATACAGTTCCAAAACCACCGTCTCCAATTATGTTTGCCTTGCAGAAGTTGTTGGTGGCTTCAATAATGTCAACCAAGGTTAATTTCAGGAGAGGCTGCTCAAATGTAGCAACGTTGATGCCAAAGGCTCCTTGGATCTGCTACTACTTACAATAGAGATCTTGATCAATGAAACTTTAGCTTGCTTTCCTCATTATCCTCAGGATCATTTTGCCTGCGGCTTCTTACAATCCATTTCTGCAGAGCACTACTACAGTTAAAATGATCAATCACTTCCGACCACATTCCAGCAAGTCCCCAGCATTTAACAGTGCTGATTTATCATGGGTTCTGATCTGGCAATCTAAACCCAGGACTCTCCCACACAGATCTTTGTCCCCAGCAAGTGTAATTTTTGATAGGTTTTGGCAAATACCACTTTCAGGAACCAGCCCTCCAATCCATTGTCTGCCAAATTCAGGTATTGCAGATTAACCAAATGGCACATCTTCTCCGGATCTCCCAGATAGCTTGTTCCTTGAAACATCAAAATATTCCGTTGCATCAGGTTACAAAGCTCTGGAGGAATCTCTCCTGTAAACTTTCATGCAGATCCAAATTCGTTAGGTAAAAGGTTCCCAAAGATCGTGGCAACGCACCATCAAAGACATTATTACTCAAGTTCATTGTTTCAATCCTCCACCATTATAGAATTCGAAGAGCCCATCAAGTGGACCAGAAGACTGTTCTGCTGAACATAAAGCCCCACAAGTTTCAGCATCTGTGACAGAGATGAAGGGAGCTCACCATCAAGTTTATTGCAACTTAAATCCAAGTGAGTAAAGCCTGTCAATTGCCAAAACCAATTGGAACTGACCGACAACTTATTGCCAGTCAAATTCAGTTTCACCAAACTACCCAACGATCTAAGCTCCTAGGGATAGAGCCGTGAGCTGGTTATTCCCCAAATCAACCCTTGAAGCTTGAGGGAGTCACCAAATTCAAGTGAATGGAACCTGTTAATAATTCCCAGACAATCCAAGGTTGTAAGATGATAGGAACCCCTCCAATAACTCAACAATTTGGGCTGGATCATGGGTTTGCATGGGCTTAAGTAGAACTCTCCTTAAAACGCGCTTCCAAGGAGGGTCCCAACCCATGAAAGACCCCATGCCACCCTTTTCCCTTTCAATGTGGGATCCTAACATAAAATTTGTTAATCGAGAAAGCAATCCTGGAACCTCACCAGAGAGCATATTATTACTCAGCAAAAATCCACCACCACCACACAATTCCCTAGCTCTTCAGGAATTAAACCAGACAACCATTATAGACAGGTCAAATACTCCGTGGTGCTGAACAAAGCCTAAATCAGGCATCTAGTCTGACTAAAATATGAAGAAGCTTTTGATGGAATTGAGCCAAGAGACTATTGAGCAGAACTAAACACTGTAACTAAGCCAGTCTGCAATCCGATCTGAATAGAACCACTGAAATTATTTTTCCCGATCCAATGTTGTAGGGCAAGCAGTCACCAAGCTCGTAGGGAATGCTCCCTTAAGAAATTTGAGTTCAATTAAGAAAGAGAGACCTGTGAGATTCCCTATCTCCTTCGGATAAGCCCCTCAACATGTTGTTACTAAGACAAGCCTCTCCAATGCAACTGCATTACCAATCTTGCCAGGAAGAGAACCCTCTAACATATTATTTGCCGCAGAAAACTCCATCAAATTCGTTGAATTCACAGACTCACTGGCAAATACCAGTGAAATTGTTAGAATCAGGTCCAGAACCATCAGCGAAGCTCTGATAGATACTCAGTATGGAACCATTATTTGATTACTAACCAAAACCAACTGCGTAAGGTTGGTACACCTGACAAATACATCTTCAATCGTCCCTGAAAGTAATTCCCATCCAGATCAATTTCACAAGTGACTCTGAATTCACAATTCTCTCGGTATTGAACCAGACAGAAAGTTATGCCTAAACTATGGTGCTTCAACATGGAACAATTCCGACCTCGGATGGGATTTTCCTATGAACCGGTTACTGGAAAGTAAAAGAGAATCCACTTCGTTCCACTTCCCAAGCCAAGAAGGCAATATTCTGGAAAGCTCATTTTTCTCAGCAGAAAATGTTAAGATTGGTAGCTGTGAAAGCTCCTCAGGCAATGACCCAGTCAATGAATTGTAAGAAAACATTAAAGTCTTCAAATTCTTGCAAAATCAATCTCGGCTGGTATGAACCATTAAGCCAGTGTAAACAAGGTTGAGCATACCAGATTATGCAATTTCCCAATAGATTTTGGGATTTGACATTTCAATGGTATATGAAAGATCAAGTTTACTCAAGGATTTCAACTTGGATAGTTCTACAGGTAAAGGTCCTGTTATTGAACAGTATGTAAAAAAAAGTTTTCAAGAAGTGAAAGTTGGCCATTTCTGCAGGTAACTGCCCATTAAATGGTTTATACCAAGGTAAAGATCGGTGAGGTTTTTCAAGTTACCAATTTCAGAAGGAATACTACCAGACAAGGAATTGTTTGAGACATCTAGAGAAGTCAAAGACTGTAATTTGTCAAGAGAGTTACAGGGAGAGAACCTGATATGAATATTGTTACCCAAGTCCAAAAACTGCAGCTGAGTCAACTCGCCGAGCTGACTCGTTAGAGTCCCAGTCAGTGCATTGCCGGATAAATCGAGCGTTTTCAGCTGTTTCAGTTTCCCAAGCTCAGGTGGGATTTTTCCGGTAAAAAAATTGAGCCCGAGTTCCAGGTTTTCAAGTTGAGTCAACTCAACGAGTTCACTGGGGACAGAACCTGACAATTGATTTTCACCGAGAGATAGCTGTTTAAGACGTCTGAGGCCCGATATCTGAGGCGGGATTTGGTCATAGAAACGGTTTGAAGAGAGGTCAAGAACTGTGAGACTGGGTAAAGAGAAGAGAGAAGGTGAAAGAGGAGCCTTGAGGAAAAGTGCTGGAAGAGAGAGTGAGACGACTCGACCGAGTTCGCAAGTGACACCAACCCAGTTATAATGCGGGGTCTTCCCGTTCCATAAGAAAAGCACTCGTGGATTTTCAAGAGATTTTTTGAAAGAAATAAGAGTTTCTCTTTCTGGGTTTCCCTCTGCAAAAACATTACAAGTTGCAGAAAACAACACAAGCACCAATAACCAAACAGACGCCATTTCCATTAGAGAGAAAAGGAGAAAAACTAAACAGGAAAAAGAAAACCCATTTACAGCTAAAAGAGTAGAGAAAAAAATATGAAGATAATGAAGAAGCTTAAGCGCCATAGACAAGAAGGTATCGCATGTAAGAAAGAAGTTTGTTTAGTGTCAGAAAGGAGCACGTGGCATCATCCACGCCAATTCCTATTCCTTTTAATCTTTTCAAACGAGTCCCTAAATAAAGGGCGTTTCTTGTCTCTTCCATAATTTATTTGTCTTCTTCTATTTTATCATTTCTTTTTTTAAAGACTTCAATTTGTTTGTTTAAAAGGAATTCACAATGCCTAACTTTATAATATTTTCTGCTTCTTCTATTTTTATTTAATTAATCTATTATCTATCAACATTTGCTCAAAAAAATTAAAATA